TTTTTAGAATTGTTTATACCAGCTTCAAAATTAACAAAGACATTGACCTATTAATAAATGCCAATTAACTTTAATCAGCTGACTGGTGACATAAATAATCTTGTTATCCACAGATATGAGAAACAAAAAACAAGAGGTTGAGAATAAACAAACTCTTTCTGTGCAACTTGTTGATAATCTTTGGAAACTCGTAAGCAATTGGGAGAAAAATCTTTTAGTTCATTCCTTTCTCTTTAGAGTTACTCTGATGCTCTGGACACACTCAGGATTTGGGTGATGTCCTCACCTCGAGTTTCATGCAGACCATAGAGCCCCTCCTTTGAAAACTGCCCTGTCTTTTGGACATTAGTGTTTCTGCTGGCTTTCATGGGCTTCACCCAGAGAAAATTCTCCATTTTGCCTGACAAAGCCTGGTGTGATTTCTACCCATTACTGGAAATTTATGCAGCAACCAAATTGTGTCAGCAAACACCCATGCAATAATTCTCTAATCCTGACTCAGTAATTCTCTAGGAAGGGCACAATTATAAGCAGTTGACTGCAATTTGTGTGCTTTATTTTCTCCATGGCTAATTCATTAGCTAAGATGTCCACCTTTATTTACTACACTCTTGTGGGATTGGTTGGTTCCTGGGAAGCACAGGTCTGACCCCATGTGCTGAACATGAGGCTCACACAGATGATTTTTTGCAGTGTTGGCTGCCCAAATGTTGCTGGCAGCTTGCTTACTGCGAGTTGCTCGTCTCTGTTCTTTGATCACAATGTACATGCCAGGTGATAAACTGATTTAAGAGGCCATATTGCATGACAGTTTCCACTAGATGTCTTCAGATTAAAAAAAAAAAAAAAAGAATACATCACACACCACCTCTTACCCTCCAAGAAAAAACACTCAGCTAGGTCCAAAAGAGCCAAACAGATGCAAAGTTGACCATGAAGGACCCAGCCATAAAAAGCATAAGATGAGAGATACTGATGGACCTCAAGCTGGAAATCCCAGTTAAAGGCTGTATCACACTCACTGACAGTATGCCATCAATTTCACTGTCCATTTGGCACAGCCAAGAAACTTCATGTTCTGTAAACCAAGTAATTTAAGAAGTGGGGTAGAAGTAGGCACCAATCAAACCAACCTGACACAGTAGGCACAGTGTGGAGGGGAGTCTGGCCTGTGAGGTCCTGAAGGTCATATAAAGCAAAGAAATTGGTTCCCTTTGGCTGTGTAAAGGTCTGTGAGGCACCGACTCTGGGTCTCAAAGATCCTGCTTAGGTTCACTCAGAACCACTGCCTTCAGAGGGGTCACGGATGCTGCGAGGTACCAGTAGGGGTATTTAGGGAAGAGCAGCATTGTGATGTGAATGGTGGCTGGACCCTCCCCTGTTACAGTGAGCTCATGGGCACTCTGTTTCCCCTTCCCTGGGATCCTGTGACTCTGATCAAGATAACCCTGGACCCTCCTTCCTGCCCCAATGGGGTTGGGGGAGAGCCAGGGAAGCCCACCCTGTCCAAAGTCTGTATAGACCCCTGACATTTCCTGTTCGTCCTCTTTTGCCCTGCTCTCCACATGGACATCACAGAATAAAGAGAGCTGAACCAACATATATTGGGGTAAGAGCCTCTTTTGGGAATCTTTGCCATCTCCTGATATTCCTTCCCTCCCAGCCTCGGACCTCTGAGCTGGCCTAGGATATTTAGGGTACTGTGTGAGGTGGGGGAACATCACTCCCCTGCCTTGCCTTCACCCAAACCTGCATTTTCCAGCTGGACCTCCTGTGAACAGGACCCCTTCTCCCTGGTTTTGCTGCTTCCCTTACTGACAGAGGCCATAAGAGCATTCAGCTCACACAGATGAAACCTAAATTCAGAAGAGCACAGTCTGTCAGACCGAATAAAACTGGAGGCTGTCTCAGTGCATAAGTGCAGCTGTACCTTTGCCCAATTTACAGTACATTTTGAAATGTACTTAAATAACAGTCTTTTTCACTGCAGTCAGTTATAATGGTCATTAGAGTGCTCTGCATCAGCTTGATGCGCTCATGAGCCCGAATAGCAGCAATTTATTACCCACGGGGCCATGCAGCTTCAATCTCCAGTGGCACAATGAGTTTTCTTTCATTACTATAGAGACATTTCGGTGCGTTCATTCACCTTCCCTGAAGACAGCCAGAGTGCCCCAGTGAGAATTAAGTACACAAATTTTCCACACTCTCTGATACACCTACCAATTTTTTCCGCTGCTATTTCGTAGGATTTAGAAACCATTTTCTGAAAAAAAAAAAAAAATTCCTGAAACCTGACAGTTTTGTCAAGGGCTGACTCGCTCCTTCTCTACACCTTCCTGCCCCCAAGAAGCCGAGTAACCCAGTTCTGTCTTTCCTCATGGAAACAAACCCAAGAAGGATACTCTGGAAAGCAAACATCTCTTTTATTCCCTGAGTGAGATAAGGGTCACCAATGCAGCAGAGCAGCTTCTTACCCAAGAGATACATGTCTTTTGACATTGTTGATGACTCAGGGCTCCTGAAAAGCAATGCTAAATGGTCTCTGCAATCTCATAGGCAATACCAGCATACCAAGTGCTGGTATGACATGCTTTTCTGAGTCATCCACTTTTTTTTTTTTGAAAACTCTGCCTTCATTTGAACTATTTATTTAAGACACATTCTGACTGTAGGCAATATATAAATGGATTTATTTTTCTTTAGTCAGGCTGTTCCATAATCAAAATCATAGTCCTCCATTTTTAAGCTTTTCAAGCAAAATACAGAGTACATGAGGCTCACCAGTAGTATTGCAAAAAGATCCATAGATCCTTCCAACAAATCAGTGAATACCTGAGTGACTTACAAAAAGGGAAAATAGTTTTAAGACCATTGCAACTCACTGAAGTTTTATTCTTTAGGACTGCGAGTTGACTGAATAATGAGTCAGTCATAAAGTTTGTGGCCTGTGCTAAAATCAGACAGGGATGAGTTGCCTGCTCTAATGTGCTCATTAGGGACAGAGTAAGTACATCCTGGTATGCTTGAATAGAACAATTATTTTCTGCAGCAATTGAAATGAATTATCAAATGCCAAGTGAAAGGCTCTGTTCTGAGTCATCATTCATCAGGAAAGATTTGTTCACAGCACTATAAAAGCTTGCAGGATCAAACGTTTATATAGACTGCATTATTTGTGCCAGCAATCAACACCTGCAGCTCTTTCACACACCTAAATGAAGTTTGCTTTCATCTTTGCTGCCAGCACTCACAATATACTTCAAATTATTGTTATCAAGATGTAAGTACGGTACTGTTGTATTCACTGGTATTTGCTTCACCTTTTTTGAATTTTCCGAAGTGGTAAAGTTATGAAAAAACATTGGACTTGGCAGCATGGACCCGCTGGGAACCTCAGCCAATGCACCCTCAGGAGCCCAGACAGGAGCCCACGTCCAAGACACCACCCACAGCCAACTGCAGACCTGTTTGTGGTAGGCTAGGAAATCCCAAGGAAATAAAAACCATCTAATTCTATTCAAAGGTTCAAGTGGCCTTGCCCAGCCCTTAAAGGTTGCAGGGCAAGCTGTAGGATGTGTGGTGTTGGAAAACAAAATTAAACTTACCCTACTAGAGGGCCCTTATTTCCAAAAAACAAAAAGAAACAGCAAAAGCAGGCTAAAAATGAATCATATCAAATTTACCATAGTTCTTCTGGATTCCTTCTTATTTAGCTGAAGACAACGTTGATATTACTGCTGAACTTATAAGCTTTATTAAGTAAATTACATTAAAAGATAAGAAGCTATGGAAAGTAAAATTAAAAAGCATGGGGGGGGTTACATTATACTAATAGAATTAAATCCTGGGAATTAACATGCACAGTTTAAAATTTTATCAAGTACAAACCATCAGACTTGTTAATTCATTTCTTCTAGGCACAGAATTGCAATTAAACCAAAATTATCTCCTTGGTACACAGTGGATGAACTACCAGAACTAAAATGTTGGATCAGTTTGCACCATTTTTTGCACGTGAGGCAGACACAGGTTTGCACAGCTTTGACTGAGACACTGTTCAATACTAAATAAACTATATATTAAAAGCACGTACACATGTTACAGTTCTGCTAGGAATGCTTTCAAGTCACATCCCCAATGGTTACCTGCTTCAGGCAAGAGCAGGCAGGCACCCCAGAGCCTCCTTGTCAACCTGGGCCACACCTCAAGTGGCCTCTCACTTGGTTTTAGCACCATGTGGTCATCCCATGAGCCTCAATCCTCTGCTGTGAATCTGCTGCAACACTTTGCCTCCAGGTCTTGCACTGCCCTGAGGGCCCTCTCGCTGTCTCAGGCTGTTCTTGGATTTTCCACCTTAACGTGGCCACTTTTTTCATGCTTTGCCTTACACTGCCTTGAATGCTGATTTGCTGGCTGGTTCTCTCTCGCTTTTGTGGGGTGCTTTTACAGATTCCAGAACTTTCTTTTGGAATTAAAGACTCAATATCTGAGCACTGCTCTTTTTTGCTACAAATCTTCATTTAGGAAACAGTTTTGAGGTAAAGCTTTGTTCCCACAGCTGTGGGCTCCTCACTTAGCACTTAGGATGATGGCATGCTCTACCTAAGGGGCTCTCTCAGCTCTGCTCTAACAGGATGAAATGAGGGAGAGCAGAAGCAGGTAAGGAAAAGAAAAGAATCAGGTTTCCCCCCTTGTTTTGTAAAGATTTTCCTGATTCCCTGTCATTCGTTCTACTAAAAACTAGTTCTCAGCAGAGAACTCCGAATCTTTCAAAATATCTTGGAATTTAAAGATGACAATAATTACATAATTAAAGACGAAAATAATTACATAAAAATGTTTGAGGTGAGAAGGCAGTTTCAGAAATTTTAGAGAGAAAATGAAGGGGAGTTAAGGTGGTAAGGGGCTAGAGAAGCACTTTCCCCCAAAAACCTTTCCTGTCCTGCCTCCCCTGGTTGCTGTTCGTGGGAATGGGAATTACGTGGCTTAAAATGGTCGTGGTCCTGATATAGAACCACATGCTATGGCTGAAAAACTAAAGCTTCTTCTGGGCGGCTGAAACCTCCACAGCCGCGGAGCCCGGGCCCGGCACTTGGAGATGGAAGCGGCCCCGCAGCTGGAGGCGGTGGGGCAGCCGCGCTCCGAGCCGAGCCGGGGCCGGGAGCCGGGGCAGGGAGAGGGGAGCCGGGAGAGGGGAACCGGGAACCGGAGCCGGGAGCCGGGGCCAGGAGCAGGGAGAGGGGAGAGAGGAGCCGGGAACCGGGAGAGGGGAGTCGGGGCCGGGGTCGGAGCCGGGACAGGGGAGCCGGAGCCGGGAGAGGAGAAAGGGGAGCCGGGAATCGGAGCCGGAGCCGGGAGCCAGAGCCGGGAGCCAGAGCCGGGAGAGGGGAGCAGGAGCCGGGGCCGGGAGAGGGGAAAGGGGAGCCGGGAATCGGAGCCGGAGCCGGGAACCAGAGCCGGGAGAGGGGAGCAGGAGCCGGGGCCGGGAGAGGGGAAAGGGGAGCCAGGAGCCGGGGCCGAGAGAGGGGAGCAGGAATCGGAGCCGGGAGAGAGGAAAGGGGAGCCGGGAGCCGGGGCCAGGAGCCGGAGCCTGAGCTGGAGCTGGGAGAGAGGAGCAGGAGCAGGAGCCGGAGCAGGAGCCAGAGCCGGGAGAGGGGAAAGGGGAGCGGGAGCCGGAGCCGGGAGAGAGGAGAGAGGAGAGGGGAGAGGGGAGCAGGAGCAGGAGCAGGAGCCGGGAGAGGGGAGAGGGGAGAGGGGAGCAGGAGCAGGAGCAGGAGCCAGAGCCGGGAGAGGGGAGCAGGAGCCGGGGCCGGGAGAGGGGAAAGGAGAGCCAGGAGCCGGGGCCGAGAGAGGGGAGCAGGAATCTGAGCCAGGAGAGAGGAAAGGGGAGCCGGGAGCCGGGGCCAGGAGCCGGAGCCTGAGCCGGAGCGGGAGAGGGGAGCAGGAGCAGGAGCCAGAGCCGGGAGAGGGGAAAGGGGAGCGGGAGCCGGAGCCGGGAGAGAGGAGAGGGGAGAGGGGAGCAGGAGCCGGAGCGGAGCAGGAGCCGGGAGAGGGGAAAGGGGAGAGGAGCCGGAGCAGGAGCCGGGAGAGGGGAGAGGAGAGAGAGGAGCAGGAGCCGGAGACGGGAAAGGGGAAAGGGGAGCCGGAGCCGGAGGCGGAGCCGGGAGAGGGGAGCGGGGAGCGGGGAGCAGGAGCAGGAGCAGGGAGAGGGAAGAGGGGAGCAGGAGCAGGAGCCGGGAGAGGGAAGAGGGGAGCAGGAGCAGGAGCAGGAGCCGGGAGAGGGAAGAGGGGAGCAGGAGCAGGAGGAGCAGGAGCCGGGAGCCGGGAGCGGGCAGAGAGGAGCAGGAGCCGGAGCAGCAGCCGGAGCAGCAGGAGCAGCAGCCGGAGCAGGAGCCGGGAGAGGGAAGAGGGGAGCCGGAGCAGGAGCCGGAGCAGGAGCAGCAGCCGGAGCAGCAGTCGGAGCAGGAGCCGGAGCAGGAGCCGGGAGAGGGGAAAAGGGAGCAGGAGCCGGAGCAGGAGCCGGAGCAGGAGCCGGAGCCGCAGGAGCAGCAGCCGGAGCAGGAGCCGGGAGAGGGGAAAAGGGAGCAGGAGCCGGAGCAGGAGCCGGAGCCG